TGTAAAACTGTACCTCAAGGCTAAAAGTAGCAAAACAATAGCTAAAAGACACAATAGCCTTGAGATAAAAGTCACAATATGCTAGCTGAAAGCTAATGGTAACAAATGCCAGCTAAACAATGTGATAAAATACTAACTAAAAGCGAAAAGTATTAAAACTGTACTTTGAGACTAAAAGTAGCAAAACAATTGCTAAAAACAGCAAAAGGCCAGCTAAAAATGAAAAACAGCTAGCTAAAAGCTAAAAGTACAAAAAAGGTTGCTAAAAGCTAAATCTAGAAAAAAACAATAGCTTAGCAAAAGATTAGCTAAAGTTAACAAAAGACTAGTTAAGTGCTAAAATTAGTAGAACTATAAATTAGCAATAGGTTAGCATAAACGTAAAAGCAGCAAACAGCTGACTAAAAGTAGCATAAGAAGACAAGAGTCCGTAGATGAAGCAGTTTTCAAACAGAACGGTTTTTGAAGGAACTGAAGAGATCTTCATGGATTTATACCGTTAAATTTGTTGTAAAATACTTAGAAAAATATAAAAGTCTAAAAGTAAAGTCCTTATCCTGAACGAGCTGAACGTTTTGTTTTATGGAGTCTGCAGAAGAGTTGGACTGCACAAACGCACAGAGACGGTATTTTTTCTGTTTTCTACAGAACTTTTTCATCAAAAACCCGTTAATGGGAGTCGTGGTTAACGAGCACTAACCTGTCCATCCGGTTCGTCTTCGTCACTGTCGGTCACTCTCTCTTTACACTTGAGGTCGATGGAGCCTTCTGGGCACGAATCCTCTGAGGGTGAAACACGAGAGGTTTGTGTTTTAGTGACACATTATCGCTGCGGCAAAGTAAACACCAGCGTCATGACAGAAAGTGGGCCGCTCTTCACATGTCGGGACATTTCAGCGCAGAATAAATAAATCGTCTGGTCTTTTTAAAGTCTCGAAGTTTAAAAAGCCAAAGACGGAAAGGCAGCGTGTAAAACTTGGAGAACCTCCTTCAGCAGCAGAACGCTCTGAGGTTTTCTGTATCAGTCTCCCTCATGGCTGTAGAGAAATTGTGGCCCACTCTTCTTTCCATCATTGGTTTCTGCTCAGCTCTCTGAAGGTCCACCAGTGCTTCAGTCAGGTTGAGGTTCTGGACTCTGGAGCACTGCAGCATGTTGGTTCTGTTCTTTCTGACCTGTTCTGTAGTAGACCAGCTGCTGTGTTCTGGATCATGGTCCTGATGGACTCACACTGGGACTCCAGAATCCTTTGGTCTACAGGAGTTCATGGTCCACTCAGTGACTGACAGGAGCCCGAACCATCAGCCCTCCACCACCGTGTTGACAGCTGGAAGGAGCTGTTTGCTGCAGTGCATTCTGGGTAAACTTCTGTCCTCTAGTCTGGTTCTGGTCCAGAAGTCTTGTGATTCCTTCAGATGGACCTGTCCAAAGCTGAATCGAGCTGCCATGTTGTTTTTACAAAGAGGCCATGACCTTCGAACTTTGACCTGCTGACCTATAGAGTCTGAGATGGAGCTCACTGCACGGTCTGACCTTCAGGGTGAATATTTTCCACTTGTGAGTGATCGTTCTCTCTGTAGAACGATCAACTGCAAAAGACCTTTGACCCTCCTCAGATCGATGGGCAGCATCAGCTGTTTCTCTGAGGTCATTGCTGATGTCTTTCTGCCCTGGCATCGTGTCAACACACACCTGTATGTTCCAGAGCTGTGAAAACGCCTGTTGATGATCAGTTCATCAATACATTTTATCAGCTGTCAGCGTCTTTTGCCTCAACAGATTGTGATACTTTGAGTTCATCTGAGGGTTCAGTTCCTCATTTTTTATGTAACGATGAACTCCAAACACTAAAACCACATTTTACACCTGCGACTACCACAACGATGTGAACAGTTATTTTTGTTGTCAGGTTGTAACGCAGGCCGACGTTGTGGGTTAGAAAACGACAGCCCGGCTCTTCCAGCGCCGACGAGTCGCTCTGACTAAGAGGGCTGAGCTTCCCGTCCATCGCGAGAACTGAAACCATCACTTCGCAGTAATGAGGACGTCTCGGTTCTGAACCGCAGCTTACCCATGACATCATCGTCCCCTTCTTCCTCGCAGATGACCATCCGCTCCTCATCGCTGGTGGCATCCTCGCTGGCGACGCCGTGGAACAGCGGCTGAGGCGGCGGCCGGTTTCGAAACAAGCCCGTCCCGTTGTCCTGACGGAGCAGAGTGGACACTTGAAAACGTCTTCAGAACTTTTACAGATTAAATGTTGTTTTTGTGGATAAAGGTGTAAAAATAAAGAAGAACTCCACCAAAGCTGCAGTTTTAACCCACAAAGTCTCGGTTTGTAAAATTATATTAACATACAAAACTCAAACAAAAATCAAAGCTTTGTTCAATAAAACTTTGGGGATTTTGTAAACATTTAAAAATGATCAAACGTCTTAGTAAAAATTTAAGCTTTTTGTTTTTATCATTCTGGTATTTAAAGCCGCAACTAATGAACCAGAACTATATTCTAATTATCCCAGCGCCAGTTTTATTATTTTAGCCGATTTAAAATCAACTAAAATTGATCATTTTTAAAGGGAGCACAAATAATCAGAAAATAAATATAAAGTAGAATAAATAAGAATATTCAAGTCCAAAGCTGAAGAGTGGTTTAAATAGTCTTGAATTAACAAATGTTACTTTATACATTTCCAGCTCCCAAACTTTTTTAGATTAAATTTGTAGATTTTTCTGCGGTTTCTTCATTTTTACCGTCCAAGTCTAAACATTTCCTGTAAATGTAGATTATACTCGAGACAAATGGTTGGAATGACTCTTCCGGAGAAACGCTGCCTGTCAAAGTGATAAGTTTGTGTTTTTAAACACAATGTTTAAGACTTTATTTAAAACATGAGGCGTGTTGTATAAAACTTTGTTCCAACTGAGATTAAAATTAAAAAGGCAGCTTATCAGCTGGATTATCGTCTGACAGACTCAAGTTTCACACTTTAATTACACGTTTTAACATAACTGTGCGCCTGGAAGTACTCGGAGTGCTTTATTTTTATTTTTTGGATGGATTAAATTAATTTCCCCCTTAAACTTCTGCACTCAATACTCCGTAATAAGGAATGGGAAAAGGTTTGTTTATTAAAAACAACAACAACATGTTGAGCTCAATAATCCAGGTAGAAAAATCCAAAAAAGTTCAATCTGGTCCTCTGGACATTCAAAAAACTGCACTTTGTTGAAGCACCTCTGGCAGCCGTTAAAGCCTCGAGTCTTTTTGAGTTCAGTGCTACAGATTTGGCACGCCTGTTTTGGGTCTTTGTCAGGTTGATGGTTAGACTCCGTCCGGCCACTTTCAGAGCTCTCCAGAGATGTCCAATCTGGTTCACTTCAGGACATTCACTGACTCGTTCCGGAGCGACTCCTCTGAACACTCCGGAGCAGATCATCATAAGGAGGTGTCTGCAGTGCTGCCGTCTTTCATCCCTCAAACCTGACTAAAAAACAACATCCCCACAGCATGATGCTGCCATCACCGTGCTTCACTGTAGGGACGGTATCAGCCAGGTGGGGAGCGGTGGTGCCTGGTGTCCAGACATGACCCTCGGCATTCAGGACACAGAGCTCAATCTTTGCTTCACAAGAACATGAAGTTCTGCTTCTCCTGGTCTGAGAGTCCTTCAGGTGCCTTGAGGAGCTCATTGTGACCTTCAACGCTCCAGAAAAGTTTCTGGACTCGTCTCCAGATCTGTGCCTCGACACAAACCCGTCTCAGAGGTCTACAGAGAGCTCAGTGGACGTCGCAGCTTGATTTCTGCTCGGTCAACTGTGAGGCCTTTCATGGACAGGTGTGAGCTTCTCCAAATCATGTACAGTCATTGAACTCACCACAGGAGAACTCCGATCAAGGTGTAGAAGCATCTGAAAGTTCATCAAACTTCTTTCAGTTTGTCGTTATGGAGTAGAATGTGTAGAGATTTAAGGGAAACGATGAATTTAATCTACTCTGTAGAACTTCTTCTTCTAGTTTCTTATTTTTTTTAGGTCTCTATGGGAACGCTGATGATTTTATTTAACTGATCTTTTCAACATAAAACACCGTCAGTTTGCTTCAGATGGTAAAGAAACTTTATAATAAATAATCAACGACTGGTGGAAAAACTTTTGCGGTCCTCCTGAGACAGAGGAGCTCACACGCAGACAACCCCAACCCTCTGAAGCTGCACCCCCTCTTCCCTGCAGAGCCTCCTGGGTTATTTTTATTTTTTATTAAGTGCAGCAGCTTCAGCTCTCACACAAAGAACTGAGCGAGTCCATTTGATCTTTTCAATCAAACGCCTCGGAGGTGTGAAGGACATGAACACACAAACAGGCTGGCTGAAACGAACTGCTGCTTTTTGTTTACGGAGCGTTCCGTTGTTCGTGAACGTAACGCAGCGAGAGCATCAGAAACCTTGTTCTGATCAAATGAACGTTGTGCAGCGAACTCTTTTAACTTTTCTCTGGAGTCGTTTCTCTGCCTCGGAGACACGGATTAACGACCTCGTACCTTGTCCGGGTCCTGCTCCAGGGTGTGCACGGCGCTCTGAGAAAAGGCTCGGGGACGGGGGTGCTGGCCCCCCAGAGGCCCCCCTCGACGTGCCGAACCCCCCGGCCAGCCTGCGCCTCCTCCTTTCCCCTCCGTCACCTGAGACTCTGAAAGGGCATCTGGAGACGAGAAGAAAAGCTCAGATCAATAAAACCTCAAATCAATACGACTTTATTCCTTCAGAACGCTGAAACAGGTCAGTTTCACTTTTCTTTACATTAAAAAATGTTTGAATTTGTGATAAATCTAATTCAACCCATTTCATACAAGCCTTTTAAATTTACAAGTCAAATTAAAGCAATTTAAACCATCATAATGAAGTTGTAAATAAATTTGGGATTTTTTAAGCTAAAAAGGATTAAATTGAGCTAATTGATAATATTTTTGAATGACAAAGTTTTAAAACGTGACTCTGTTAAAACATATTAATCCTCAAATAAAATATTTGTTTCAACCTGTAAAAGGTTTTTAATAAATTACTTAAATTTCAATAATTGCGTTAATAAAGTATAAAAAGTATAGAAGCATCAATCTTTAAAAATACATTTCTAATTAAAAGTCAACTGTATAAAACTCTAAGGACAGTTAAAATTAATTTAAAGATACAATAAGATTTGTACTCATCACTATTAAAATATATTAATCAAAAAGTGATTTATATCAGTTTTCTCAGCATTTTACCTAAAATGCATGCACCTTTTAAATCTTAAAGTGGTTTTACACTGGGATGAAACTGATAAGGACGAGTTGGAGGCACAAAACTGCGAGAAAAATTAGCAAATTCACTTTAACAAAAACCGACAAACTTACCAATCTTTCTGCGACATCTGGGCCAAAACGTGCCAGAAATTTAGACATACGCGATGCCAAAAATAAAAATAAATAAAAATAAACAGGCTCCAGATTTACAGAAACTAAAAGAAGAGTTTTGAATCATCTGTGGTGACTTTATGATTGATCTGAGATTTGTTTTGCAAAACATAAACTGTCCAACTTTAACTATTTCAGGTTAGTTGTGAGAATAAAACCAGCGATGTATTTGAATATGTTTGATTCCACTTTTAAAGCTCTTTATCGGTCTATAAAATATTCCGGTGGTGTTTGATAATAGCGCCAGAAAGATGCAGTTTATACTTTTAAATGTGCAACACTCCCTGCACTCCCCCTCCTAACCACCAGGGGTCACTACACAGAAAATAAAACCACCACAGAGTGGAGGAATTTACAGGAAGTTCACTTTTCGCACACAAACCGAACTGTTTTGACCTGGTCGTGGCAGCACGGTGGCTCAGTGGTTAGCATTAATGCCTCGCCGTAAGAAGGTCCTGGGTTCGTTCCCCAGTTTGGACCTGGACCTCTTTCTGTGTAGAGCATGTTCTCCGTTTGTTTGGGTTTCCTCCCACAGTACAAAAACATGTATGTTGGGCTTTGTCAGGCCTCCCGTGAAAAAAAAAAAGATCTGTGACCTCTGTGGGATTTGCCTGGTTAATAAATAAATCAATCTTATTTTTGCACAGCCAGAATTAAATGTTAGTTTTTAAGGGCATTGCCATTTTTATGCCCTGTAATATAAACAAACGTTGCACCAAACCCAGCAGATGTTATAGATAAAATAAAAAGTAATTTCATAAAGCACAAAAAGCAGGATAAAACCCTGATGAGACCGGTGAAGGTCCGTCAGTCCAGACCGATCATGTGAAGTTTTCTTGTATTTCAGAGTGAATCGTCCCACGCACACCTATGCTCTCAGACATGCTCCTCTCCCTCAGCTCCTTCGGGGTTCCCCGGCCCTCGGACAGAGACTTTCTGCGGTCTTTGTTGCACCACTTCCAGTCAGGGTATGTTCTGAAGTGGGCCTCCTTCACCTGATGGAGGAAGAAAATGAGGTTTAACTTCCTGTTGGTGCCGTAACACAGACCTCAGTGCTTTGGAAAATGAACAACAAGCAGCTGAGTCTGGATCTTTGAAGCTGAAACTTCCCAGAACTTGAGGAAAATCCTTAAAAAGGGTGTTTTTGCTGACCTGGAAGGCCAGATCGTGGTACTGCTGCTTCTCGTTTTGGCCCAGAGCGTACCACCACTCCCCCAGGATCTTGCTGACGGTCCGGTTGTCCTGGTTGGGATGTCGCTGGTGAACCAGAGCCCGGTGGCGTTTGCTGAAGATCATGAATGCGTTCATGGGACGACGGATGTGGTCCTTCTCCCTCTGGGTGCACATCAGAAATGAGAACTGAGGACATTTAGCAACTCTTTGGTTCATTTACGAAACACCTTTCGTCTCGTTTAGCGATACGAGCGTCGGCTGACCTTCCTGTCCCCGTCCCTCGGCAGGGCGCTGAGAGACTGGGTGCGTCTCTTGATGGGTCCGGTGGACGGAGACGGCTCATTGGCCACACCGGGGGAAAACCTGCATCAACAAACAAAACAAAACGTCAAACTGAAAGTCCAGCATCTCCAAGGACACGAGGAAGAACCCTCAGTCCGAGACTTTCAGGAAAGAGAAGTGACCACATTTTCTGAAAGAATACAGTTCTGCTGTTTGTGACATTTAAACTTTATTTAAATGTCTTCCTCATAAAAAATACAGTAAAATCTCTTCAGTTCCTTCAGAAACATCATTTGAAATCAGCTTCAGCTTCTGGCTGCTTCTCTACTTTTGCTAATTTTAGCTGTTAGCTAGCCTTCACTTACTTCCAGCTCTGAACGTTATTGAAATCTTAGGCTGCAGCTGGTATTTGCTACTTTTAGCATGCTAGCATTCTGTTATTCTTCTACAGATTGTAACTCTTCTTTCACTACATTAGTTATAGCTAGCCTATTGGTACTAATATTTTTGGCTCACATTTAGCTGATTTTACCTATCTTTTGTTACTTTTAGCTTTTTCTTTGCCATCCTTTCTATACTGCTTGAACTGGTTTTGCTACTGATATTGTTTGGCTAGCTTTGAAACCAGCCACTAGGGAGCACAAGCCAGTCACGGTGCATCTCTAGAGCTGGTCCCAAGCCGGGTAAACGGTGAGGGTTGTGTCAGGAAGGACATCCACCATAAACACTTCTGTCAAAACTGGACAGATGATCTCAGCGCCTGAGAAGAAACATAAGGTTGAAGCAGCTCAGAGAGATAAGAGGGTGCAAGGCCATTTAGGCAGCTAAAGGAGAATTTTAAAATCTATTCTGTGACGTACAGGGAGCCAGTGAAGGGAGAACAAAACTGGTGAAATGTGCTCAAACCTACGAGTTCCTGTTAAGAGCCGAGCTGCAGCGTTTTGGACGAGCCGGAGACGTGACTGACCCCGACATAAAGCACGGTGAAAAGGGTCAACGTGTCAATCACGTCTCAAAACAAACAAAAACACTTTCCCAGTTTTGTTTCGAAGGCAAAAAAATCTGTTTATTAACTTAAAGTTATTAAATAGATTAGAGACAATGATGAGCAAAACAATATCAGTAGCAAAACCAGTTCAAGCAGTATAGAAAGGATGGCAAAGAAAAAGCTAAAAGTAAAAAAAAGATAGGTAAAATCAGCTAAATGTGAGCCAAAAAAACTGTTTTTAAATAAGAACGGTTGTAGTTTTAATATGAGAAAGGAAAAAACCTCATACGCCCCCAAATAATGAGGAGGAGCCGGAAACGAACCGATCTTCTGATCTGGACTGAAGTTAACTGAAGTTTCACATCTTTGCCACCAAAGTTGAGCTTAGCGTCTTTAAACAGCAGAAAGCATGAACACCCCTCCCACTGCGAAGCCCACGGGGGATCAGACCTGGTCCGGGGGCGATGGAGGCACCCAAAGCTGCAGATTAGGTTGGTTTTAAGTTTAAAGAGGCGGAGCAAACCTGGAGGACGAGCGGACCGAACGGAGAGAAATCTCTGACTCTCGTTCTTTTGTTGAGTCGGTGAAAGTTAAAACCACTGATCTGTGAAGACGCGGCTGTTTTACTGATAATAATTCACTTTTACTGTGAAATACAAACAAACACTGTGTTTGAGCTGCAGGTATGAGACAGCAGAGGTAGAAAAGGAGTCTGCTTTATATATTTTAGATGTTTATATCACCTCAAATTAATTTTGAAATGCCTTTTAAAGAGCTCAAATAACAAATTCTCTGATTTTGTGTTTTTTAAATTATTTTCTGTGTATTTAAATTAATACTTTTGTAAATAATATTGTTCATAAAATTCAAATGTTTGCACATTTAGTAATTATTTTGAAAGCTTGTTTATTTAGTTTAACATTTTTTCCTAAAGATCTATTTTTGGGGGCTCTTGGTTAAATTCCTGGGTGTGGCAGCGACGCAAACTCTCCTGCAGATAAATCATTGTTCAACTTTATTTTGTTTTATTTCCATCGTTATTCATTTCCATTGTGGCTACGGTTTGTATAATAATAATATTTAGAAAAGAAAAAAATCCAGATGAAGCTGGAGATAGATGATCAAATCTCCAGAAGTTAAGGACCCGTTTGCTGCTTGTGACAGGTCAAACTGAAAGTCTGAACTCGCTGTGAGGTTTCACGTTTCGTCTCAGACGTGTTGTTGATGACTTCTATTAAAAAAAATTCAGCAAAGAATAAAAACAAAAAGGTAGAAGCTGAAAGAGCTGCAGACAGACTCAACTTGTTGCTTCAGTTTATAAATGTATTTGTTTTAAAGACAGTTAGCTAAAACTAAGGTCAAACGTGTCGGCTCTGTTTTCAGTAACGGCGGTCGTTTCACAGAGAGGCAGGGAAACGGAGCAGGTGCAGCCGCGAGCGTTTTGTTTGGCGCCGGCGGCCTCGGAGAGCGCCGCTGACCCCGAGACATTCATAACGGCGCTCAGACCCAGACAGCCCGTCTGAGTCACGCTGAAAGAGAAATAACCCGGCTAGAAGCAGAGCCTGAGAGGAATCAACGAGTACAAACTACACAACTGCTGCCAGACAGACGCTACGGCTGACGGAGACGAGCCGCTTCCTTTCAGCTCTGCAGGCGAGGGCGGACTTCAGCCTTGAGTTTTAAAAGCTTCAAACTACACGAGAAGCTGCAGCTGATGACAGCTACTACCCACTTTGAGATGAGTCACGCAGAGAGGGAGCACATCATGTACGAGGCGTTCAGTCAGCCACTACACAGATCAGCAAATTAAAACCTTTACAGCGACTCAAATTTATCCTTAAATGCTGTAAGCAGAGGATAAAACTGAGCCTTTGGTCCTCTAGGTAAGAGCTAAAAGTAACAAAACTAACGTTTAACAGCAGCTGAAACCAGAAAACAGCAACTAAAAACTAAAACCAATAAAATCTGTAGCTAAATAATAAACTTTGTTAAACTATAGCTAAAGCTAAATCCATTAAAGCAATCATTAAAAGTTAAAATTAGCTCAACAGTAGCTAAAGGCTAAAAATAGCAAAACTACAGCTAAAGCTAAATCCATTAAAGCAATCATTAAAAGTTAAAATTAGCTCAACAGTAGCTAAAAGCTAAAAATCGCAAAAATATAGCTAAAGTTAAACCCAGTAAACAATCACCACAAGATAAAATTAGCCGGATAGTAGTTAAAGGATAAAATTAGCAAATCTATGGCTAAAGTTAAAGACAGCAAACAATAACCACAAGTTAAAATTAGCTGAATAGTAGCTAAAGGATAAAATTAGCAAACTATGGCTGAAGCTAAAGCCAGCAAGCAATCACCACAAGCTAAATTTAGCCGAATAGTAGCTAAAGGATAAAATTAGCCAACTGTGACTAAATGTTAGAGCCAACACTTCGTAAAAGGTAAAACAGCCAAAATGAAAATGCTGAAGTTAGCTCAATGTTACTTAAAAGCTCAGATTTGCTCAAAATAAAAATCCCAATTAATCCAAATCATTAAAATTAAGGATTTCTAAAAGTGTAAAATTTACAAAAAATTAAAGTCGTAGACTGCATTTCTTGAACGAGCTGAACGTTTTGATGCAAGAATGCTGAACATAAGCCGAACCCAAAAGCCAAACGAAAACAGAAGAATAAAAAATATATATATATTACTGATGGTGATAATAAATAAAAACAAACAAACAGCGAGTGTCCCTTCAAAATAAGGTTTTACTTCCATGTTTACCAGTTGGAGGTCGTAGACCTTTTCCATTCTTAAGTTCCAGACTTTTCCATTCTTAAGCTTGAAGTGAAGTTCAATGAAAAGGCCGAGCTGGCGCTCTGAGCAGTCGGGGAGGAATAACTACGGGAGTTGCGACACTTCCTGTGTGGTAACCAGCTCTAATGGATCCCAGAGTGGGTTTGTAAACAGCAGACGGATATAAATCACTGCACTTCTAAACAAGGGCTCTGCAGATCAGCAGCTTGTCTGACAGGAGGAACGCCACCATTTCTCAACGCTGCACGCTCAGAGCGGCTCGCCTCCTGAATTTAAATTAAACCCAGAGTTTCTTCGGCTGATCTCGTTAGCAGCAGGTTAGCGCTGCAGTGCCTGAATGAGGTTAATTTGAGCGAGTCAAAAAACTTGTCGTCAACTCACGGGTCGTCCGTGTCGCTCTCCGTCTCGCTGTCTGCCCCGCCCCTTTCTGCAGGAGGATTGTCATTGGTCGAGGGCGGGCGGGAAGGCGAGCTCCTGTCCAGGCCCGGAGGGTTAGTCCGCCCGTCGCTGACCAGCGCCACGCCACAGCGAGGCTCTGAAAAATAAAGTCATTTCAAGTCAAAAGCTAGCTCGATATGTGGAGATAATTTAAATTCTGGAGGCAGTTTCTGCTCCAGAACAAGAATCAGTCGACCAAAACACTTGAACAGAAAGGAGGTAAGAAAGGTGACATCACTGCAAACTTTATAACAAATACCACATCAAATGGTCTTCAACGTCAGGACACTTCAGCTGATTTTTGTTTTTACTTTTTTTATTTACCTTTTGTCTCCTTGAAATGAAAATAAAACTCTTCAACTGCACGAAACAACTGCTCTTTGAAATATTTTTAGTAAGCTGATGTTTTTCTGTTGTTTTACTTTTTAACTTGTGCTTTGCTGATTTTAGCTTTTAGCTGCTCTTGTTTGGTCCTTTTTTTAGGTACTGTTTTTCTAGTTTTGGTTTTAGCCAGTGTTTT